ACCACGGTTCAATCCCCCAGCACCACATGCCAGCCAGCCCGCCCCCTGGTGGGCTGAGCTGGCCACACACACACACACACACACACACACACACACAATGAATAAATAAATAAATAATTTTTTAAAATACAGATTAAGGCCTTGTTATTTAAAAATAGGAAAAAAAATAAATAAATAAGACCCTGTGTGGGAGGAAAAACTAGAAGGCACTCGTCAGGGATGCCCCCATGAGTAGGGGCCAGCGGCCGGACTGCGTTCGGCCTCCCATGGAGACACAGGCGGTGCTGCCGCCAAGCTGCTCTAGCGATGGGCACAACCAAGCCCCTGGCTTGCACTCGGCAGCAGATGGCCCGGATCTGAGTTTGAGCAGCCCGGCTAGCAGCAGTGAGCCTCAGCTCAACACAAGAAAAGCAGGCACTGAGCCCAAACCTGCTCAGTCAGGAGCCCAGCATGTGGGACTTAACAAGCCCACCAGGAAGGGAAGTACAGATGTAAAACAAAAATAACTGTAATTCTGTAAGCATTATAATCCTGAGAAAAATTAGCAATGTATGCAGAAATCACAGCCAGAAATGGATGACAAAAAAAGGACTCAAGTAGAAATCAAAACACAGACTTTGTAAAAGGGGAGGGTGAGATAGCTCAGCAATTTAAAGTGCCTGTTTAGGCAAGTGCACAGGGACTGAAGTTCAATCCCTGGCACCACATGCCACACCAGCCCCACCTTCAGGGAGGCTGAGTCTGCCAAAAAAAAAGAAAAAAGAGAAAGACAGAGATTGGGCATGGTAGCACGCCTGTAATCCCAGTGCTTGGGAAGCTGAAAACAGGAGGATCACTACCAAGTCCCAAACTGTGTAGTTAGACCCTGTAGATACTGCACTAAAAATACATTAAAAAAAAAAAACAACCCACAGGCTCCACTCATCCACCAACAAGAAAAAGCCATAAGCAGTGGTGCCCAGTAGCGTACACTGTGACAGGAGCAGAAATGTGCCACTGTCCCCCTGAAGCAGTGGCAAGGGCTTACAAAATAACCTATCTTAGATACTTATCTTTAAAAAATCCTAAACTGTTGAGCATAGTGGTGCACACCTATGATCCCAGCAATCAGGAGGCTGAAGCAGGAAGGTTGCCCTAAGTTCAGAATCAGCCTAGGCTAACCATGAGCTCAAGGCCAACCTGAACTACATGGCGGTGAGACCCTGGCTCAAAAGGAAAAAGAAACAAATTTAAAGTAGGGCATAGTACTAGTAAACCCAGCATTCTGGGAGGCTTAGACTAGAGAATCACAAGTGCAAGCCCAGCCTGAGCAAATCAGCAAATTGGCAAGACTCTGTCTCAAAATAAAAAAATAATAGGGGGCCGGGGAGTTAGCGCAGTAGAATAAGTGCTTGCCTGGCAAGTGCAAGGGCCCGAGTTCAATCCCCGGTTCCGCTAGATAGATAGATAGATAGATAGATAGATAGATAGATAGATAGATAGATAAATAAATAAATAAATAAAATGGGCTGGAATGTAGCTCAGTGCAAAGACTCTGGGTTTAATTCCCAGTGCTACCAAAAGAGAAAAGCTCTGCTTACAGGAAGCACACACCCATGGAGACGGAGCACACTGTGGGTCTCCTAGGCATCCCAGGCCAGCCTCATGTCCTTCTCACACCCCCACCCTGCTGCCCTAGGCCAGTGCACACCAGCCTCAGTGTCTCCAGGTCCAGCCCCATTCTGCCCACACAGCTCAAAGCCCACCAAGCTCCACCACCTTCTGCAGAGGTGATAGGGTCAGAAGAGTCAAGAGGGGCAAAGCGCAAGTGGAATCCTGGACTTCAAAAGCACAGTGTGCTGAGCCCTGGGAAGGCAGGAATGATGCAGATAAGGTGAGAAGAGCCAAGAGACCAGATCGAGAAACCTGGACAGAGCCTCATGGAGCCAAGTCCCAACCTGCTGCTAACTGGCCAGAGGAGAAGGTATATGCAGCCTATTCCACAAAGGCTGGTGTGGGGCAGGCACAGAGCTTGGGATAGAATACTAGCCTAGCCAGCACATTAGGTACTGGACTCCATTCCTAGCAGAAAGGGGAGGCAGGGAGGAAGGGAACAGGGAAGGAGGGAGACAAGGAGGGAGGGAGGGCTGACTCAGGTGGCTAAGGAAGCACTCGTTCTAGTGCAGCGTGATTCTTGCCACAGAGCAGCTAAGGACTGAATCTGGATTTAACCCCTAGATGGCTGAAGAGAGATGAATCATAAAAGCAGGAGGTCCACAGTTTATACAGATTTATAAAACATATTTTATGCTTGGCATGATAGCACTCACCTATAATTCTAGCTACGCAGGAGGCTGAGGCAAGAGGATTACAAATTCAAGGCTAGGCTAGGCAACACAGCCCTAACTCAAAATAAAAACTTTAGAAAGGAACAAGGACATAGGTCAGTGGTAGAGCAGTAGAGCACTTACCTTGGGCTTAATCCCTAGTACTGCAACACACACACACACACACACACACACACACACACACACACTCACACTCACACTCACACTCACACTTCAGGGGCGAGCCTGTGAAAGTTGTCTCTGGGGAAAATTCAGTAGAGAAAGCAAAGGACTAGCCTGTACACCAGGGCCAGGATGTTGAGCATGGTGGCCACATCAGGGTGGTCATGGCCAGAAGTCTTCTCCAGGTCCTCCAGGGCCTGCTTGCAGAGGGGCACAGCAACTTCATAGCGCCCCTGCGAGGCATACTGGATCACCAGGTTGTGGAGCGTGCGCAGCCGTGCGGGGATCTCGTAGCCGCCCTGCTGGGCAGCGGCGGCTGCACTGCTGTGCTGCTGCTGGACTGCAGAGAGAGGTGCACATTAGGGGGTGGGGGACAGCATGGCTATGCTAGCAGCCCGTCAGCTCAATCTTTCCGAAGGCCCCCTGGGCATGTGGGAAAGAGTAAGGGGTTGGAAGGGATGGTGCCCTGTCTGCTGGCAGTGGCAGAGGGCTGCTCTGGAGCCAGAGTGACTCTGATCTCTTCTACCTGTAGGCCACATCTGCACTGTGCATGCTGTTTACCAGGCTGCTCCTCCACCCTGCTACACACACACACACACACACATTTTCCACTGCCCAGGAAACAAAGGTGACCCTACTGTACTCAGGCCCCTGTGCAGCAGGCACTGCAGCAAGGGTCCTCCTGTGACAAACGTGTCCTCAGACAGCAAACAACAGCCCATAGCACGGCACTCACTTCCTTGGCCTGGGTCATCCTCATCATTTGGAAACAGGTCATCCAAGGGCTCTTTGGCAGAATCAGTGTCTTTGTCCTCCTACAAAAGAAACCCAGAACACCTTCATCCTCCACTGTGCACATCCCACCTGCAAATCTTTAACATAACACTCATTTTAAGTCAAAATCTTAGAAAAGATTGCCAGTTTGTAACATCAAGTATAAGATCATCCAGTGTGGCTTCTCCACAAGTTTAATAAAGAGTAATGAGGGCCACAGCACCGGCATGGCAAGTGTGTAGCTGTGAGTTGAATTCCCAGTACAAAAACAAAAGATTCAGGATTAATGAATTAGAACCCACTGTACGTAAAGCCACAATGCAGGCCACCAATGCACCTCTATACTTCTGCATTTCCACCTGCATTCTAAGGCCCAGGCTCAGCAGAGAAAGCCTTATTTGAGGTAAAATCTCATTCTCGTGCATCTCTGACCACCACAGAAATGGAGGGCTGGGCACCCTGGCACACGGCCCTCCATGTGGAAGCCCATGAGCAGCCAGGACCCCAAGGGCGCCACCACAATGTAATTCGTGCCTCCCAGAGACTGCCGCTTGGCAGAAGGGGTAAGAACAGGACTCACAGTGCAGGAGACAAACAGCTTGGCCCGCTAAGACATCGGCATGTTTGAGGGACACACAGACCTCTCTGCCTCTACAGAGAACAATCTCTAAGTGTACTTTCCCCTTAGTAATGAGAAGTGAACAGAGCTTTCTCACTGGGCTACATCCCAATTTTTTTTATTTTTTTATGTTGACACAGCGTGCGTCTCACCAACTCACTCAGTCACTTGGGCTGGCCTCAAGTCTGCTGCCTCAGTCTCCTAGAATACTGGCACTACCAGTAAGCACCACCATGCCCACACATAGACCATTTCGCAATACTACCACTGCAGCCCATAATCAACACTAGACAAACTCTAAGTGAGGAAGGGTGGCATCCACCAAAGATACCAGTGTCACAAAACACTCAAGAGATGGGACAGCTAGGTGCCATACACAGTCTGAACTGACTCTGCAGAACGTGGAACCATGAAGGCCATCACTGAGACAATTAACAAAATGAAGGTCTGGACTATGGTGGGGGAGCTGCGGTGTCGCCTACATTCCTTACATCTACCTCCGGGGCCCCAGGCCCAGCAGAGGAAAGGGAGAGGCAGCAGGACTCAGGAGGAGGCAGAGCTGGTCTCAAGTCCTAAGGCTCTCTCCAAGTCAGACATTCTTCACAAAATGAAAAGTTTAGGGGCCGGGGAGATAGCTCAGTAGAATAAATGCTTGCCTGGCAAGCGCAGGGTCCTGGGTTCAATCCTCACTTCCACCAAAAAAAAAAGAAAAGCTTAGCCGCACATGGTAGCACCTGCCTATAATCCCAGCACTCCAGGAGGCTGAGACAGGAGAACTGCACATTTGAACCCAGAATGGGCAATCTTCAACTCAGGAAGGCCCAGTCTCAAAAAAAAAAAAAAAGGAAAAGGGGGAAGGATCACTGCGGATGGCGCTCAGTGGGAAAGCATCGAATTCAAATTTTCTGTACTGGAAATAAATATGAGAAAAACAAAAAATAAGTAGCCTTGGTGTCACATGTGCATCACTGGCTGGCACCAACATGTCCAAGTGGTCTTAGCCCACAACAACCGATGTCAAAACATCAGGGCCACATGATGTAGAGGCTACAGGAGGCAGGGGGTGGGGGGGAGCCTAATCACTCAAAGCTATCTTCAGCCCGGGCCTACAAAAATGCATGACTTGGACCAGGCTCCCAGAGGGTGGTATTGGGAAGTGGAGAGCTCTGGGAGGGGATAGAGTAAGAAACATCAGAGGTGGGGCCTCGCAATGGACCAGGTCCTCACAACACCCATGGAGGGCTCTTTCCCCATACCACAGTGGTATCAAGCTAGCAGAGCGTCCTCCCCAGAACCAAGCTCCAGAACTGAGAGAAAACGAGGGGGTAAGCCACGGCCTATGGTAGCCAGGCACAGGCCACCAGGCGGCAGCGTAGGGCGGTGGTGCTGCACAGGGCTTCGGAGCAGAAGCACAGAGAGGAAGGCACCCAACACTGGACTGCACCTGTGCACACGCCAGGCCCTAGGAGACAGAAGAGTCAGCCTGAACCCTACTGTAGAATGCCAGGCTGGAGCCTGGGACAGAGGCAGGCAGTACTGGAAGGATATGTGGGAAGCCTCCTCACTTCTTTTTCATTCTTATGTCAATCTAAAATTATTCCAAAATTAGTAAGTTTATTTAAAAAAGCTCACAGTGGTGGCACACGCCTGTAACTCCAGCACTCAGGGGTGTGAGGTAGGAAGACAAAGTCTGAGTACACTTGGGCAACTTAGCAATACCCTGCCTCAAAATGGAAAGATAAAACAAAGGGAGAACAAGGGGGACAGAAAGGGAGAGCGAGAGAATGAAAGGGAAAGAGGGGAGAGAGAAAAAGGGAGAGTAGGGGGGAAGAGGGAAGAAAGAGAGGGGACAGGGGGGCAAGGGGGAGAGAGGGAGGAGGAGGAAGGGGGAGGGGGCATCAGGAGGGGAGGGGAGGGAGGGAAGGAGGAGGAAGAACCCCTGAGGACCCCCAACCATCAGCAACAGAAAGGTAAGCCACCAAGGGAAGCTAAAGAGACATTACAGAGACAAAGAGAACCAGATGCTGCCCAAGGGCAAGAGAGGGCAGCACAAGCAAGCCGTGGAGCCCATGGATGCCAGGAGCTACAGCGGGTGACCAGGCCAGGGACCCAGCAGTGGCCAGCAGGCTGGCCATTCTGTGCAGCAGTGAACAGAGGGCACTCAAGGGGCTGCCCCTGCATTCACAAAGCTCCTTCCCACATTCTGACCACCACTTTAGGGACACAGGAGGACACGCGGCACAGAGAACTGCCAGGCCCTGTGCAGACCAGCTGGTCACAGCGTGGTACAGGAGAGCTGCAGCTGCAGCAAACACTCACCGAGGGGGAAATATCGTCGTCATACTTCTTCAGCTGGTTCATGAACTCTAGGTGTTTCTTCTCCTCCTCCAGCTGTGCCACCGACTGCTCACTCTTCTGTAACTTCTGCTGGGTATTGGCCAGCTCATCCCGCAGCCACTGATTCTCCTGGCACAGACGACGAACCTGTGCACGAAGTTTCTGCTTCTCTGACTCCACGGCGTTCAGGTGATTTGACAAAGCCATCATCACCTGGAGAGAGAGACACACTGAAGGACACCGCCCAGCAAGAGCCCCGCCACTCAGGCGAGGGCTGGAGGCTTCAGCTCCCGAGCACACACAGACATCTTCCCCACGGCCCACATCAGGACAGCCTGCCATTCATCCCACTGGCACTGCCACCCCAGCCACCAAGGGCTGCTTGCGCTCAGGACATCCACAAACAGCACCTCTTCTCTCCAAGTGAGGGCCCCTGCAAAGACAAACACTGAACCCGTCTACTCTTGTGACCTTCCAACTTCTACCTAACTTCCCGCACGCCCCATGTATGGGCTATATGAGCACACACGCATCACAAAGGCAGGCAGGTAGGCAGGGGCAGAGGCGACACAGCAAGGGCAGGCGTGTAGCCTCCCACCACAGGAAGCATGGGAAGGCGGCCCTGTAGTTCTCACAAAGCCCTGGAGGCACCAACACGGCCACAGCCCCGAGGGCTGTGAGGGCAGCTATGAGGGACAAGATGGAGAAGCCAGCCAGCTGCATCTCTTCCCTGTGCGCCTCGTGGGTCTGCCTCCCCTTCAGGACACAGGGACTCTGTTCCCACCCCCATGTGCCAAGCAGAAGCTCCGCATGGTGGGGTTCGGCTTCCTTATTTTATAAAACCCATCATGAGCCAAGCCCACCTTTTACAGTCACCAGTCTACAGCAGAGCCTGGGAGCAGCAGGTTCACAATATGCAAGTGCTGGCAAAGGTCTACGGCCACCTCTTGGATGGGGCTGGGATAAAGAACCCCAAAAGGGGGTCCAGGTGCCCCCTTCCTCTACAAAGGCACACTAGTGCAGTGGCCCCTTCTCTGCCTCCTCCACTCGCTGCACAAGCAGGAAACAAGAAGCCAAGTCTCTGTGTACTGAATCTGACCCAAGATTTGTTGGCTCTTGAGCCAGAAGTTCCAGGGGAGCAACACTCAGATATTTCCACCGTTCTCTACATCAAACATGACAGAAACATAAAACAGTCTGGCCCTGGGAGGGTGGAGCTGCAGCTGCACCCCGCATCCCCCGACCCAATTCCTCAGCACGGATGCTGCGCCAAAGGCAGGGGCACAACCAGGGGTCAGGGAACTGCTCTCCTGGCAGTAAAACCCTAGGCAGCAACCTTCCCTTTCCACACCAGCACACAGTCCTGGGGCCACTACAGAAGCTCCCTCCTAGGCCAAGACACCCAGCATGCAGCACAGAGGGACAGGAGCCTACAAGCTGGGGCAAGGCCTCCCTGGGAGCTCATGGGCAGCAATGACACAAACACACACACCCCCCGAAAACTAAAGCTAGAGGGCTAGTGGCACTGGCACAAACAAACCTGTAATCCTAACTATTCAGGAAGCTCAGGTAGGAAGAGCACAAACTCAGACCCAGTTCACACAACTCAGCAGACAAGATAACATTTTGTTTTAAAATTTTAAATACATAAAATTAATTAATTACAATGTGTTGGTGAGATAGCTCAATCCAAAAGCTATGAGTTCAGAGGCCGAGGAGATAGCTCAGCAGAATAGGTACTTGCCTGACAAGCGCAAGGTCCTGAGTTCAATCCCCGGTACGGGTTCAATCCCACATGCATAATAATAAATTCTGGGCCAGGGAGATGGCTCAGTAGGATAAGCGCTTGACCGGCAAACGCAAGGATCTGAGTTCAATCCCCAGTTCCGCAAAAAAAATAAAATAAAATAAAATAA